CTCCTGTTGTTGACTTAACAATTTGACACTCTTGTTTATGGCGTCAGAAATCTCCCTGGGCTCTAGTCATGAGTTGCCAAGGCTATGGAAGCCTTTTGAGTTCGCCAACTCCAATCTTATTTTGACAAGGTCATAGTCAAAGTGGAAGTTCTCTCTTCCCTTCAGAGAAAGGTACCTCCTTCTTTGATGGCCCGTTCTTTCCAATGGGATCTCACTCGCAGAGATCTTTCATTTAGTTGTTTTTTGTTTTCTTTCTTTCTTTTTTTTTTTTTTTTTTTTTTTTTTTTGCCAGAGTGTCTTGGCTTTCTATGCCACAAATACTCTCATGGGCTCTTCAGCCATATTCGAATGCCTTAAGGGCTGATTCTGAGGCCAGAGCGCTGTTTAGGACATCTGCCATTCTATGAGTCTGCTGTGTATCCTGCTTCCCATGTTGGATTGTTCTTCCAATGTTCTTCCAATTCAATCCCATCAAGGTGGCATGTACCAACGCCATCTCACTAGTTGAAGTTATCAGTTTCAGTTCACAATTGATCATTTTTTTTTTTTGACAGGCAGTGGACAGTGAGAGAGAGAGAGACAGAGAGAAAGGTCTTCCTTTGCCATTGGTTCATCCTCCAACGGCCACCGTGGCCAGTGCGCTGATCCGATGGCAGGAGCCAGGTACTTATCCTAGTCTCCCATGGGGTGCAGGGCCCAAGCACTTGGGCCATCCTCCACTGCACTCCCTGGCCACAGCAGAGAGCTGGCCTGGAAGAGGGGTAACCGGGACAGAATCCGGTGCCCCAACCGGGACTAGAACCCTGTGTGCCGGCGCCGCAAGGCGGAGGATTAGCCTAGTGAGCCGCGGCGCCAGCCCACAATTGATCATAATGGTAGGATTAAGAGTCAAAGGGATCACATAAACAAGACTAGTGTCTGCTAATACTAACTGATAGAATTAAAAAGGAGAGAATGTCCCAACATGGGAAGCATTTTCTTATTTGCAGGACTTCAGGAAGTGTTTGGGCCTAGAAGACTTCATCTCTGTGCCTGGAATTGCCTCAGAAGAAGTGTACAGGATGGTGGAACACTTTCTCCATATTGCTGGACCCTACACAGGACAGCCACTTAGGAACTGACCTTGGATTGAACCTCTTACCCAGTCTCCTGAACTAATGATAGATGTGGAATCTTGCGAAGCTGCCAGTCTCTGTGTAATGTAAGGAGAATGTTCTGAGAAACCTACCCCTAGATATAGTCTACTGTATGATGATCTGTGATGAAGCAGCCCCAACTTCACCAGGAGGGGCACCAGTCACACACCCTGGAAGAGCTAACGTGACTAGCAAGGCAGAGTTGAGTGTGTAGCTGCAGCAGCTCTTGGGCTTCCATCTTGATGTCTGGCCCATGCACTGCAGTGGCTGAGCCAGGAAGCTGCACCTGGGCCATGGTAGGCTCACTCCCAACTCCAGCTTCCTGTGACTGCACATCCTGGGAGACAGCAGGTGATGGTGCAAGTAGTTGGGGCTCTGCCATGGGGAGCCGTCCAGTGGGGCTCGGGGGTCTGTGGTCTCCTCAGACACAGGTAGAATGGCCTTCACAAGCAGGCTGTCAGCTGTGGCTGGAAATCCCGTCTCCAGACCAGCTGACATCTCCCCCACTAATAGCTTCTTGTGCTGCATGTGTGACCTTGCAGCTTTAAATCACATGTCAGGGTGGGTGCGATCTTCCACCCAGAGCTGGCAGGGGAAGGGGCTGAACCCCTGGGGAGAGTCAGATTGGCTCCAGGAGACCCTGGCTATCTTGTGTGACCTTGTGGTTTTAAATCATGCCTTTAAGTTAGTTACAATCTTCCACCCAGAGCTAGAGGAGGAGCCTCTAAGGAGACCCCCCACTATCTCCATAAGCCTCAAGCCAATCAACATACTTTATGTAAAATCCCTGTACTATGGGCACCCCCACAGAATGACTCAATGAAAACAAAAAAACAGTCATGCCTTAAAAATCCAGGACATTTCCTCAAAGCCAGTGTCCCGCTAGGGCACTCCACCTGCTTTCCTTTAAGACCAGATGCTTTTTCGGTTGCTTGCCAATCAAATAAGTTTCTTTTCTGTCAAATAAAAGTTTCTGCCTCTTTGCAAATTATTTCCCAGCTTTTTATTTCTATATGAAGCTGAGATAAAGAATCCACGAAACTCGCGCCTGCAACTATTTTCCCCTCCATGCTGGTAACACCACCCATGTGGGAAATGCAGAGAGCTCCTGACTTCTGGGTTAGGCTTGGTCCAGCCCCAGCTGTTGTAGGCATTTAGGGAGTGAATCAGCAGATGGGAGATTCTGTATCTCTCTCTCTTTCAAATAATTTTTTTAAATTAAAAAGCAATGTGGGACTAGTTAGCAATGTTAAATCCCAGCCCATCTTCCTCCCCACTAACCAAAAGAACGAGACTTAACCTTACCAGTGCCTCGATACTGGAATCCCCAGTCTCCAGAGTAGTGAGAAATACATTTTTGGGTGTTTTTTTTTTTTTTTATTTTGACAGGCAGAGTGGACAGTGAGAGAGAGACAGAGACAGAGAGAAAGGTCTTCCTTTGCCGTTGGTTCACCCTCCAATGGCCACCGCGGCAGGCGCACCGCGCTGATCCGATGGCAGGAGCCAGGAGCCAGGTGCTTTTCCTGGTCTCCCATGGGGTGCAGGGCCCAAGCACCTGGGCCATCCTCCACTGCACTCCCTGGCCACAGCAGAGAGCTGGCCTGGAAGAGGGGCAACCGGGACAGAATCCGGCGCCCCGACCGGGACTAGAACCCGGTGTGCCGGCGCCGCTAGGCGGAGGATTAGCCTAGTGAGCCGCAGCGCCGGCCCATTTTTGGGGTTTAAATCACTCAGTCTACATTTTGCCTTGGCACCCAGTACAGACTAATACATGCTTCTTGGACTTTGTTTTTAGCTCAAGATGAGAGAGAGAGAGAGAGAGAGAGAGAGAGAGATTTTAGTCTGAAAATCAAGTTACTGATTTTTATTGTGATTACTGATAATTTTGATTTATTTTTGCCGTATTCAAAACTCTCTTTCTGCAGTCTCATGCTTCCTTGTTTGGTTAATCCATGTGCACGAAGAGGTTTGGGAAATTCTGTGTTGACTGAGCCATGCAGGATTAGCTCAGGGAGCCTGGCCTGATTTCATGGCAATGGGCAATGGGTGGGAAGGTGTCAGCTGGGGGTGCCAGGGTGTCTGGATCCCAAACCCTGAATGAATGACCTGTCTGCATACAGGACCTGCCTGAGGTACTATTTTGAAACAGGCAAATTTTAGGGTGACAGAATGTAGCTGTTTTCTTTTTTTAAAGATTTATTTATTTATTTGAAAGTCAGAGTTACACAGAGAGGAGAGGCAGAGAGAGAGAGAGAGAGAGGTCTTCCATCCGATGGTTCACTCCCCAGTTGGCCGCAACGGCTGGAACTGTGCCGATCCAAAGCCAGGAGCAAGAAGCTTCTTCCGGGTCTCTCACGCAGGTGCAGGGGCCCAAAGACTTGGGCCATCTTCTACTACTATCCCAGGCCATAGCAGAGAGCTGTATCAGAAGAAGAGCAGCCGGGACAAGAACCGGTGCCCATATGGGATGCCGGCGCCTCAGGCCAGGGTGTTAACCTGCTGAGCCACAGCGCTGGCCCCTGTAGCTGTTCATATAGCTCCTAGTTCCTGATTTTTTTTTTTTTTTTTTTTTTACCTAAGACCCACCACAATCCAAAATGATGTGTTTTCTGTCTTTCCCAGATGTTACACTCATTCAAGTCAACATAACAATCAGGTCTTAGGAGTTTAACAATCTGATTGGATTGATTCATATTAACCTATAACAGATCTACCCCAGGCTTCCAATGAAGAACGGGGATGTTTTTGAAAATTCATTAACTTGTATAATTCTGCAATTTTTGGGATTTCACACTTTAAAATCATATCAAATATAAACATTAAGTTTTGTGGGGGCTTATCATTTTTTTAACAGAAAGATGGGAGTGAATGTTGGTTGATCACTAGTAGCTTTTGCCCCTAGGGCCAGTTCTTACAAGATTTCTTGCTTTATAGAACTTTTTTTTTTAATCTTCATCTACATCTGGACTTTTAGGGAAAAAAGGAAAATTCCAAAGGTTTTTTGCAAAGCTGCAATGTCCATGGTGGTCTAAATTCAGCGGTAGAGTAACAGTGAATGGCCCAAAAGGTCACTACTATATGTTATTCCTGAAGTTTTAGAATTAGATTTATAAATCGGCACATTTTGATTATTAAGTGCTTATAACAGTGGCTTGCATGTGTTTTCTGATTTCTCTCTCTTTTTTTTTGCCTGACCCATAAGTCTTCAGTGGTGGAAACACAATGGGCTGAACTCAAAATGACTCACAGGAAGCACCTGAGCCAGCACCACTCTTCTCTAATGAGTAGCAAGAAAGGAGTAAGGGAAAGGAGGCATACCAATGTGGTAATGCAGAGATCCCAGGTCTATCAGACTGTTTCCTTCACTACAGTGATGATGTCAGCCCATGCAGCCACCTGTTTGGGATTTCACCTTTCACGCCCTGCTAATCATTGAACCGCCACATTGACTCCATTGTATGAATCCATAAGCCACAGGAGTATTTACAATAGACGATCAATACAGACTGGATATATTGTTCCACGATATTATGAGATCCCTCCATTTATCTTCCAGATAGTAGATTCTATCAAGCCAGTTTTATTAAGAATTTGCCTTTTCAATTACATGTTACTGGTACTCAATTCTTTCCAACACATCATGCATTTTGAGATTGTACCCCCACCTTGCCCAGAATATAAGTGTTCCAAGATCATGCTGTGTCTTTCAGCACTATCTTATCACATTAGAAGAGTTTCTGGAATATCATAGATGTCCAATAAACACCTAGTAATGAAGCAAACTGTTCTGTGCCTTGCACTTCAACATTAACAGAGGGCATTCCCAAGATGGCTAAACAGAACCACTGTTCAAACAAGTGGAAGTCATTTCTCTGGGTAGCACATCCATTGATGCCAACCACATGGGACCACAAAGAAACCACTCTGCAGCACAGATCTGCTGGATTTTTCATTCTCTTTCAGCACAGGGAGGTAAAATGGAATATTGTTTTGCTGCAAATATTTCAGGTAATACATCATCAGCTGTCTCAGTTTTCCTTGGCTGTGGTATCTTTCCAGGGTATAAGCCTTCCCCACTTCACAGGTGGAATCCATGACAACCCATGTAACTGGATCCCCTTCTGCACCCTGCAGACTGTATGCAGGCAGGGTCTGTATGCAACGCTGGATGTAATGCAGGCTCCTCTCATTCCAGCCTGAATGCTAGTTTTCATTTACCAGCCCAGCATGGGAAATGCACAGTTGGGAAAATTTAAAATTGGGATCCTCACTGTGAAAATAAAAAACAAAAGTTTTCATCCTCCTTCCTGTAATGTCTGGATACCTGTCCATTCTGGAGCTCCAAGTTACTCATCTCCTTGCCTAACACCCACTGTTGGAAAGTTGCTCATTTTGACTGTTGATAAGCTATCCATCTCAATGAATGAACTCATCCTCTCCTTATGCAAAAACTGATTTATATGAATAACAAAGAATGTTTAAAGAATAACAATACTTCGGAAAAGCCACAGGAGTGATTAGCACATGCTTTTGGTACCTCTGAGGTTGGTCATCTGGATGCTCCGTCTCACACCAACTGTCTGGTTTGCTCCTGTTGGAGGTACTGAGCTTCACTGCTTGAGACCCTGGCAACCCATGTTAGAGTGCTGACTCAAGTCCCATCTGCTCCCATCTCCAGTGGCATTAACTCCCTGCTAAAGCACCTGGGAAGAAAGTGGATGATGGCTCCAATACTTGGGTTCCTGACGCATAGTTGGGAGTCCCAGATGGAGTTTCTGGCTACTGTCTTTGACCTGGCCCAGTCCTGGCTGTTGCAACCATTTGGGGAATGAACCAGTGGATCAAGGAAGTTTTCTCTGTGTCTCTCAGTCTCTTTCTCTGTCTCTCCCTCTCCCTTTCACTCTGCCTATTCTTAAAATACATATTAAAAAGTGGCAAGTATCAGATTATTTTACATTTAAATTGTACCTATGCCAAAATTGAGTACATAGTTTGAGTATTAGACCATGGTAGCAGACAGAAAGATCTCAGACTCCAAGTTGATAAAGAAATAACAAAAAGCAGATTTATTGACCATGTTTGCTTATGAATACAGTTGCAAAAATTCTGAATAAAATGTTCAGTAGTATATCAAAGGAACAGTAGATGTGAACAAGTAGCATTTGTTTTAGAAAGTCAAGAATGGCTTAGATCAGATCTTTCAGTGTGGTATATTAAAGGAGGAAAAAGTAAAATGAGGACATAAATTGACAAAAGAAAAGGAAAATATATGAAACAGTGGAAAATCCAGTCTGTATTTTAAGAAAAAGTTCTATAGCTGTAAAGATAAACAAGCATAGTTCTAAATCTGAGTTGTTACCATTTCATTAAAATCAGGAATGAGAGACCAGCATTATGGCACAATGAGCTACTGCAGCTTGCAGCACTGGCATCCCATATTGGAGTGTGGGTTCAAGTCCCACTTTCTCTGTTTCCAATACAGTTTCCTGATAATGTGCCTAGGAAAGAGCCTGGTCCAGTCTTGGCTGCTGCAGCCATTTGGGAGTGACCCAGAAGATGAAAGATATATATATATATGTGTGTGTGTGTGTGTGTGTGTGTGTCCCTCTTTCTTTGTTGCTCTGCCGTTTGAATAAATAAATAAGCAAATCCTTAAAAATGTCAGGAATATGTCAGGAATGAGACAAGGCTAGAAATATTGGTATTGTTAGTTGATGCTGTTTTTTGTTTGTTCTATAGCTTGCAACAAGGCAAGAAACTAAATAACCAATACAGATACTTTTTTTTTGATAGGCAGAGTTAGACAGTGAGAGAGAGAGAGAGAGAGAGACAGAGAGAAAGGTCTTCCTTCCGTTGGTTCACCCCCCAAAATGGCTACTATGGCTTGTACACTGTGCCGATCTGAAGCCAGGAGCTAGGTGCTTCCTCCTGGTCTCCCATGTGGGTGCAGGGCCCAAGCACTTGGGCCATCCTCCACTGCCTTCCCAGGCCACAGCAGAGAGCTGGGCTGGAAGAGGAGCAACCGGGACAGAATCTGGCACCCCAACCGGGACTAGAACCCAGGGTACCAGCACCACAGGCAGAGGATTAGCCTAGTAAGCCGCGGCGCCAGCCACCAATACAGATACCTTAAAAGAAACAGCAAATCAGCTATGTTTATGGATTACAGTATTATGTATTTGGAAAATCCACTGATTCTGACAAAATAATCCCACACAAACAGGATTTTAAAGAATAATGTGGCATATTTGAAAATTAGTAGCACAAATTAGAAATCAGTAGACAAATAATATTTAGAAAAAGAAAAGTCACTTAGTAGTATTAAAAATAATACAAAATACCAAAGGACAAATTTAATGGAAAGTCATATGGTTTACCAAAGAAAAATATTAAAATTTTACTGAAGGACGTAATAATTGATAAAATAGAAATTACATATCATGTTTACAAATGAAAAGATTTTGTATCAAAAATACCAATCCTTCAATAAGTGTTGAAAAATATCTAATCCAATTCCAATGACAATTCCAATAGGTATTCAAAGTTGTTGGTGGAGAGCTGGAAAAATGGAAAAATGAGCTTAATTCCATAAATCTCTTAAGTTTGTAATAAATCCTATAAAATTAAGAAAAGTTTTCAACAGTTTTTTTCATACTATTTATTGAACTCTTAAAATAGAGTTAATTATATGTGTATGAGGTCAATTGAAAATAGATCTCAGTAAAAAAATAAGAGTGGAGATAGGAGAGGGAGGGGACATGGTGGGAGGAATCACCACGTTCCTAAAGTTGTAATTATGAAGTATATGAAGTCCATAACTGTAACGCTGTATAGTTCTGCATACATTTTTATGGAGTTACTTCTAAGGGCACAGTTCAAAACTTGCCAAGGGACCCCAAATCCCCATAAGCTGGGTGGTAAAAACACCATCTTAAGTGTTAGAGTGACCATATGGATAGGATTAAGTGTCTGGTACTAACAATAGATAGAATTAAAAATGAATGAATGCTCCAACATGGGAAGCAGTCTATACAGCAGACTCATAGAATGATAGTTGCTTTAAGTAGCGCTCTGACCTCAGAATCAGCCCTTAAGGTATTTTGGTCTGGCTGAAAAGCCCACAAGAGCATTTCAGGCATGGAAAGACAAGACACTGTGGCAAAAAATGTCCTACATAAAGGATCTTGGTGGGTGAGTCCCTAGTGGAAAGAAGTGGTCATCAAAGAAGGAGGTACTTTTCTCTGAAGGGAGGAGAGGACTTCCACTTTGCTTACGGCCTTGTCTAAATACTGACAGAGTCTGTGGACTTAAAAGGTTTCCATAGCCTAGGCAGCTCATGTCAAGAGTCTCAGGTGATCACTGACATCATACATAAAAAATGTGAATTGTTAAATTAACAGTAAGAGTCACTATGCACTAACTTCTCATGCAGGACCTCTGTACTCAAAGAGTTGTATTATAATTATGTGTATGGGCTCACAAAATATGTATCATTCTTGGGTGCTTCTTTAAAGTTAATTAAGTTTCTAGAAAAAAAGAAGTGAAATTAACTTCAAGATGCAATGACTTTGAATAGTCCTTGTCTTGACTGTTAAGGAGCAATATTTTTTTGTATGTGCAAATTTTTGAACTCTTTACTTAGTATAGAGTTCGTCATCTGTGCATAAAGTTAATAAAAAATGGATCTTAGTAGAGAATAGGACTGGGAATGGGAGATGAAGGAAGGAGGAGTGGGAGTGTGTGTGGAAGGGTGGGTATGGTGGGAAGAATCACTATATTCCTAAAATTGTACTTATGAAATGCATGAAGTTTGTATTCCCAGTGAAATAGCACAAGCAAACACTAGTAGCACATATATATATGTATATATGTGTATATGTATGTGTATATATGTATATTTATATGTATATATGTGTGTATATGTATATAAGTGTGTATATATGTATATATATATACACACACACAAACATGCATGCCATTTGACAAAAATACTACTGAAGTTTCGGTAGTGGTATGATTTATTTAATAAATAGTATTAGCATACTTATTTAGCCATATAAAAGAAAGATATAAAATAAACTTAGTTTGCTAAAGTGACCTCTACTTTTCTAAGCTTATTGCAGCACTATCTCCAATAGTCAAGAAATGGAAACAACCTAAGTGTCTAGCAACTGAAGAATGGATAAAAAGAATGTGATTCACATGCACAATGTGATATTACTCAGCCATGAAATGGATGAAATCCTGTCATTTGCAACAAAACGGATGTACCTGGAGGTCACTATATTAAGTGATGCAAGCCAGGCACAGAAAGTCACCTATTACTCATGTATAGAATCCAAAAAAGTTGATCTTATAAAAGTTGAGAGTAGAACAATGATTACCAGCTGGACATAGTAGGGAAAAGAAGGGATAGGTAAAAGTTGATTAACCTGTAGTCACTCTAGTTTCATAGGAATAAGGATTTATGATGTCTATTGCTTAGTAGAGGGACTATAGATAAAAATAATATGCTGTATGCATTTTGATTAAAGGTAGAAGAAAGGATTTTGAAAGAATTCACTATAAGAAAAAAGTTTTTCAGTAGATAGATATGTTTACCCTAATTTGAACATTGCATAAGATATACATGTATCAAAGCAGCAAATGATACCCAATAAATATGAATATGTATTGTTTTTAATGCATCAGTTAAAAATAATCTTAATTAATGTAATTCAAAAATGTATTTCAGAAGAAATGAAGATTTAAATGTAAAAGTAAAAATTAATCCAAATATTTAACAGAAAATAGGAAAACATTTGTTTAATCTTAGAACAGAAAAAGTCTTCCTAATTAAAGAACCAAAAAATTCAGAAGTCATGGATGAAAAGATAGCATATTTCAGTACAAGAAAATTAAAAGTTCTCTACCAATTGGGAATTTGCAGCATGTGCCTCAGGTTAATATCCCTAATATCCAAAACATCTTTACAAAATTCAATAATGACACAAAGACCCAATACAGAAGTGGTCAAAGTATATGAGTAGATAGTTCAGAAGTAAACCTCTGAAGACTTATTACACTAGGAAATAGTGTATAAAAAGGCACAAAAAACAATGAAATCCTGTCTTGCAACACAATGGATGCAAGTGGAAGCCATTATGCTTGTTGAAATAAGCCAGTTCTCAAAAGACAAATATTATATACTTTCTCTGCTAACAGATAGTTAATAAAGAATACAACAAATATATATGAATGAAATGAACATCTTGTGATTGATTAATGTTTTCAGCCCTTGCTTATACTTCTGTGGAACTGTGTTCTTTCTACTTTTTAATTACTGAGTATAATGGTGATTGGTACATTAAGCCTGTGATTATAGAGTGAATTGTAATTATGCCTTTTCAAAAATTAAAGCAAAAAGGAAGGAAGGAGGGGGTTTGAGGGAGAGAGAAGAAGAAGAAGAAGGGAAGCATGGTTATCTTAGTATTGTACCTATGAAATCTGTTTTCTTTATATTACTAAAAATTAAAAAATACATTCTTACATATAGTTTCATAAGTTGTAAAAATGCAAATTAAATCTAATAAGATGCCATGTTTTCAACGAGGAATTTGACATAAATTAGAAGAAGAGCTAAGTGTGAGTGTTTGGCTTAGTGGTTAAGACACAGCTGAGGGTGTCTGTGTCCCATGTTGGAGTACCTGGATTCGACACCCACCTGTGCTCTGAATACAGCTTCCTGCTAATGCAGACCCTGGAAGGCAGTGGTGATGCATTGAGTGATTGGGTTCCTGACACCCCGCGTGGGATATCTGGATTGCATTCTTTGCTCCTGATTGGCCATTGTAGGCATCTGGGGAGTGAACCAGTGGATGAGCTTTTTCTCCCTCTCTCTCTCTCTCTCTCTCTCTCTCTCTCTTTCCTGCTCACTTTCAAATAAGTAAATAATAAAAATTAATTTAAATGATAAGTAGTATGCAGTGCTATGGACAATCAGAGAAATAGTTCTTTCATTTATTGCTAATGGGAATAAAATGAGGACAATCTTCTGAGAAAGTAATCTGGCAATGTCTTCTAGAATGAAAAAAAAAATGCTCTTCAACTTGATATTACCCTTCCTGGAAATCCTCTGTGTTTCAAGAGTCCCCAGGATGTAAAGACACATGTACAAGGATGTTTACTGAAGTAACATTTTGTCGTGGCAAAGAATTAAAGGAAGCAATTTGAATCCAATAATGGGAGAATGGCTGAGTAAATTATACTATATTCACTCTATAGAGTACTACGCCATTAATAAACGTGAGTTAGTGTTGCAGTAACTCCATGGAATATTATACAATTATTCAGTATTCCAGTAATATATTTGTTGGCCTAAAAGTATGTCCATGATATCCAAAAGGCAAATTACAAAGTTATGAAATGAGAGGTATCCAGTACCAAGTTGGTATGAGTAAGGACACTGATTCCCTCAAAGCATGAGAAAGGAGGAGAGAAAGGCAGGTGAGGTGAGAGGTGTTAACTTATTAAAACAATGTGGTGTTCTTCTATTTGTATTAATAAACAGCATATCATACTTTTGTGATTAAAAAGTAAATTTGGCTGGTGCCGCGGCTCACTAGGCTAATCCTCCGCCTTGCAGCACCGGCACACTGGGTTCTAGTCCCGGTTGGGGCGCCGGATTCTGTCCCGGTTGCCCCTCTTCCAGGCCAGCTCTCTGCTGTGGCTCGGGAGTGCAGTGGAGGATGGCCCAAGTTCTTGGGCCCTGCACCCCATGGGAGACCAGGAGAAGTACCTGGCTCCTGCCATTGGATCAGTGCGGTGCGCCGGCCGCGGCGGCTATTGGAGGGTGAACCAACGGCAAAGGAAGACCTTTCTCTCTGTCTCTCTCTCTCTCACTGTCCACTCTGCCTGTCAAAAAAAATTAAAAAAAAAGAAAGAAAAAAAATTAAATTTAAATATTTTCTCAGTAAATTCTTCTGTATCCCACCCCTAAATGTTCTTATTCAAAACAGAATTGACTTTTAACACTGAAAGAAACATGATATGCTATGGAATTAGACCAAATGAATGTATTTCAAAGTAAATTGCTTTATTTTACAATATTTCAATATTTTATAATATATGTGTACCACAGACCTTCTATATTTTTAAGTTATTTTTATTGACACATTGTTTAAAAATTACTCATGTTAAAAGCAATGAAATATGAAATCATGGACTTGATGCTATGGTTACATTACTCAAATGTGTAAAATAACTACAAAGTTACTGGAAAAAAGAGAGACTTTATCAATTACCATTACTTAGCATACCACATTTTTGAAGGAATTGGGTTTCTATGGAATTTGATAAACTAAGCATTAATGTTCAAGTGCAAATTGTCTGGAAGCCAGGAGATTAAACAAAGATTCCCAAGGGAAGATGCCCAGAAGGAAGCTACAGAAATGTTCAGCTCAGCCTGCTTCCCAGCCGCTGCTCACCTCCCTTCCATAGCTGGAGCCACTTAACTGCTTTCCACACCCCAGTCCTGACTCAGTTTGCAAACTACGCTTGATCTGGAGTAGTTCATTTACTTGGAGACTCAGCTTTTGAACCCAGAGTGAAGCTGGGTTGGCTTTGAGGCTGCAGCTCACTGATTAAATGTCCTCAGAACAGGGGAATCACACAGGCTTTTGGGCAAAAACAAATCGTTTTGCATTTAAGCTTAATAATTTACTCCTTGTGTGACCTCACCAATGTGCAGTAACACTTGTAATGACGTGCTATGCGTGAAGGTTTTGATACCCAGCATCTAATTTAAATATTGGGTTATCATATGGGGAAGATACTCTTATTCCTTCTGTTCTACAGGTGATGGGACTGGGGGTCAGAGAAGTGTCTGTTACACAACTAGCAAAATCCGCAGAGCCAATTGAACATGAATTCAACTCAGATATGGTCTTCTTCGGTCTCACGACTTAATCCTTGTCTCTAAACTGGAGATGCCAATACTCACTTTGTAAGGTTGTGTCTGAAGATGCTTTTCACTAACAGGGGAAGTGCTTCCGCATAGTTGGCATGCAGCAATAATGAATCCCCTCCCTGGTTCTGGTGAGACAGTTTTTACTAATGGATTTCTGGGCTTTTGTTTTTAAGTGACTATTTTGGTATCCCATTAGACTCCTTTCAGATCCTGTGGCTGACTCCTGCCACCTCTGTTGGTTCTCCAATCTGCTATCATCAGCTTTGTCTTCCTCCCCTCGGTCTCCCTCTCCTGTTCCTCCTGCCTTCTTTCCCCTCCCTTCTTCCCCCTTTCTTCCCTGCTCACCTGACCTTACCCTGATGTGTCCTATGCTTTTTACAGACAGTGTGAGCATGTGGAGCTCATCTGAGTGGCCGACTACTGAAAGAGTGTCCTTAAAATAACCCAGATTTTCTTTTACCCTTGGGCTGTATGGAGCTGACCATTCCCAATGATCTTTGTGTGACTACCTGTTTCTGAGGCCGGACAATGACTGTGTGGTACTCAGGCCAGGAGTCCACCAGCACCTCCATGTTGAAGGGGTTCCCATGGTTGATGTGATACACAGAGCCATACACCTGAAGGAGGAACAGAGGGACTGGCAGAGGCTGGGAGGGTTGCATTGCTGTCCTCAGAGACGGAGACCTGGATGTGATGAGGAAGGGAGAAACAGAGACCAACAGAGGGTTCTGGGACTAAGTGAGTGCTAACAATGGGATGAGTAGTGTCTCTAGGACCATATGGTTGGAGGAAAAGTCACCTGCAAGCAAGCAGAACTCACAGATGTCCTTATGGTAACAAACAGGCAGGGCGCACTACCTGGGCACTTGCTAGACTCTTAGGACTTAACGTTGTATGGATATATTTAATATTCACAAAACATTATGAGGAAGGTTCTAATATTATTCTGTACTCACAGATGAAGAGACCAAGGCACCAACATGTAATGAACATATCCAAAGCCACCCAAAAAAAACAATGTCAGACTTGGAATGCACACCCATTTAGACTGGCTCCAGCTGCCATTCTCCATTGTTTTTCCAAATCAATGACAAAACCTGCAGATTGGGCCCAACTGCCTGTTCCTGAGAAGCAGCAGGTGCTCCAGATGTGTGGTCCCCACCCCCAATTCATCCTCACTTGTGGCTCAAACCTCTGCAGAAAGTCAACAAGGAAGGACAGGAATTAGGAACCTGCTATTTTGTCATTCTCAACACCCCCACTCCCACAACCTGCTGTCCCTTCACGTTCAGGGACTCAGGGGTGCTCCTGGCCAAGGATTTACACAGGGTCAGCAGATTCTTGGGCTTGTGCAGCAGCAGTATTTTGTATATGTGGTGATGTACTTTAGTCCTTGAGCTTCTCAAGAAAAAACTGAAAAGATAAGAAGTTGAGGGATAGTGTTAGGTCACCAAAGGAATTAAAAATGCACTGTTTTTTATTTGACAGGTAGAGTTAGGCAGTGAGAGAGAGAGAGAGAGATAGAGAGAAAGGTCTTCCTTCTGTTGGTTCACCCTACAAATGGCCGCTATGGCCAGCACTGTGCCGATCTGAAGCCAGGAGCCAGGTGCTTCCTCCTGGTCTCCCATGTGGGTGCAGGGCCCAAGCACTTGGGCCATCCTCCACTGCCTTCCCAGGCCACAGCAGAGAGCTGGACTGGAAGAGGAGCAACCAGGACTAGAACCCGGTGCCCATATGAGGTGCCGGCAGCATAGGCAGAGGATTAACCAAGTGAGCCACAGTGCTGGCCCCAAAAATGCACTTTAAAAATATCCATTTTGGTAACAATTATCATCCTTATTCTGGGGACACTGAAGCTCAGAGAAATTTTGAAAATTCCTCACATTCTTCTAGAACTAAGTGGCAGTGTCAGGTTTTTTTTTTTTTTTAAGATTTGCTTGAGGCCGGCGCCATGGCTCACTTGGTTAATCCTCCACTTGCGGTGCCAGCATCCCATGTGGGCGCTGGGTTCTAACCCCGGCTGTTCCTCTTCCAGTCCAGCTCTCTGCTGTGGCCCAGGAGGGCAGTGGAGGGTGGCCTAAATAATTGGGCCCCTGCACCCTCATGGGAGACCAGGAAGAAGCACCTGGCTCCTGGCTTTGGATAGGCGCAGCGCCAGCCATGGCAGCCATTTCAGGGGGGTGAACCAACGGAAGGAAGACCTTCCTCTCTGTCTCTCTCTTTCACTGTCTGTAACTCTACCTATCAAATAATAAAAAAAAAAGTTTTGCTTGAAAGAGAAAGAGAGAGAAAGAAAGAGAAAGAGAAATCTATCTACTGGTTCACTCCCCAAATGGCTGCAACAGCTGGGGCTGGGCCAGAGTAAAGCCAGGAGCTTCATCAGGTCTCTCACGTGGATTCAAGGACACAGGACTTGGGCCATCTTCTGCTGCTTTCCCAGGTGCATTATCAGGGAGCTGGATTGGAAGCAGAGTAGTTGGGACTCAAACTGGTGCCCACACAAGATGCTGGTATTGCAGGTGCAGCCTAATCCAAGAAGCCACAATGCCGGCCCAGAGTCAGATTTTTGAAACCACATATGAATGAATCCAAAACCTATGGTCTTCCTCTTTAATAGTTATTCCATAATCTTTTCAGTGCTCTGTCAATCATCTGTTTTTCAGCTCATCTTCGGAAATTTGACTCTAGTTTTACAGCGGCCCCACCAGGACCTCCAATCATGGCTTTTTCTTCCTCTATCAACCAACTCATATCCTATACTCTCTTTTTCATAAGAGTAAATGTTGAGAACCATTGAAGTCATTTCATCTACATTCAACCCTCTTGAATCTATTTCACATTATTGTCATCTTGCATGGAACAATCACAAACTTGGTTAAGTTCAATTCTCCACCTACACTACACCTATACTGTTGCGCAGGGCTTTCACCTGTACTGTTGCCTGTAACCAAAAAAAGCACACATTGGTATGGGAGTTATGGTAGAGTGGGTTAAGCCACCATTTGGTACACCTGCTTTCCATATTGGAGTGCCAGATGAAATGATTCAAGCCTCAGCTACTCTGGTTTTGATCTCGCTTTCTGCTAATGTGCTTGGGGAACTGGTAGAAGGTGTCCCAATACTTGGATACCTTCCACCCATGTGGGAGACCCAGATGGAATCCCAGGACACTGGCTTTGGCCTGGCTCAGTTCAGGCTGCTATGGGAATTTGGGGCGATACCCAACCCTATCTCCATCTCTCTGTCTTCCAAATAAATAATAATAGAATTTTTTAATAAAAATCCACATATTCATGTTGACTGATCTTAGTTCAGGTTTGTGACTGTACCACTGGTGGGCTCTTGTGACTGCCAGGAAATCCTATTATCTTTCCTCAGTCTATTTGTTCTCCTACTGACTTAGACAATGATGCCACCATCCCCTTTCTCCTCAAACCCATACTTCTTTTCCATATTGACTCTCTATAGATGGTATTACTTCTGATTTAATTGAGAAAATTTTAAATAGAAATTCCTTAGACTGCCTTGTGATGACTTTCTATTTATCACATCTTCAGTCCACAAGATCTACCTCTGTCCTGTTACTATTGATGAACAATCCATTAACTTATCCAAAGCCAATTTCTGCATTTTAGTACTACATCACATTCCTTTTTGTCTTCTGAGGGATATGATTTTAGCAAGTCTCACACTTTTGTCTGTATCAAATTTTCTAGTCAGTGTAGATATGATGCTACTTTTTCTTTTATACAGAAATAAAACATTCTCTTGTTCACAGCTTCTTATTCCAGTTACCCCCCCCACTTTTGTCCCCTTTGCATAAAAATTCACCGATTCAATTCTATATTCATTATATCCAATCCTCTTCTAGTGTCTAATGGGGTTTTGCTGGCACCATTCTACTGAAACTCCCTTGCTAAGGTCATCAGTGATTTCTATGTTATTAAAGACAATGGTCAATTCTTGCTCCTCATCTTACTTGATCTTTCTGAAGCCTTTGACATATTGATCATTTTTAATGTATTTTATTCATTTTTCTTCCAAGACAATACACCATCAGTTTCCCTCTGAACTTACTGAATACTCCTTCTCAGTGGACCCCTCTATTCTCCCAAATATCTTAATGTTGGGTCACTTCAGTGCTCAATTCTTGGTCCTCATTTCTGACTATATTTTTTTTCTGGTGATCTTACCAAGCTCCATGACTTTATATAATGCCTTCAAATATCATGTGAGAGGTCAATACACACAATATATGCAGTCACATATTAATGCACAGAAGGCTGAAAGGAAGTCCAAAAGTCCATGAGTGTTGTGTTCATGTACTACTTTGTTTCACAAAGACCTGACTTGTGCTGCACATTCTATCTGTTTCTGTAATAATTATGCCACTTTTTTCTCTTCTATATTCAAATACCCCCCTGCCTTCCTCTTATAGAATTACTTAGGATTATACTTTAGGGTTCACCACCTAAATGATACCAGGATATCCTCCTCATCTCTTGATCACATTTGTAAAGTCATTTTTGTCATATAACACAACATTCAAAACATCTAGAGATTTGAATCTGGATGTCTTGGGGGGGGGTCATTATTTAGACTACTACATATGAATATCAAGTGTAGGTTTATCCATGAGCAAACTTAACTCACACTTTCAGAATTTAAATGTTCTCAGCCCTAGAATAGTATTTCTAAATTTCAGATCTAAACTCTTGGAAGAGAGATTTATCCTAACTTGAAAATTTAATTATCTAAAATCCTATCAAACATGACTTATGATCAAGAAACTATATAAAAATTGCTAACCAGGGCTACCATTGTGGCACATGGATTAAGCCACCACCTGTGACTCTGGCATCCCATATGGGCACTGGTTCAAGTCCTGGCTGCTTCACTTCTGATCAAGCTCCCTGCTAATGATTCTGGGAAAATAGTTAAATATGGCCAAGGTGTTTGGGCCCCTGTACCACATGGGAGACCTGGATGTAGTTCTAGGCTCCTGGCTTCAGTGTAGCCCAGCCCCGCCTGTTGCAGCAATTTGAGGAATGATCCCACAGATGGAATTCATTATCTCTCTCTCTCCCCCTCTTTTCTCTCCATCTCTGCCTCTCTGCCTGTAACTCTGCCTTTCAAACAAACAAATAAATCTTAAAGCAATTGCTAATCAAAGAACATTCATGTAAGTGTTTGGGAAGACAAGTTACCATGTATGGTATATTGTTAAATTTCAGTTCACAATTGATCACACTGATAGGTCTAAGAGTCAAAGGGATCACACAAACAAGACTAGTGTCTGCGAATACTAACTGATAGAATAAAAAAGGGAGAGAACGATCCAACGTGGGAAGTGGGATACAAACAGACTCATAGAATGGCAGATGTCCTAAACAGCACTCTGGCCTCAGAATCAGCCCTTAAGGCATGCAGATCTGGCTGAAGAGCCCTTGAGAGTATTTTAGGCATGGAAAGCCAAGACATTCTGGCAAGAAAAAAAAAAAAACTAAATGAAAGATCTCTGCGAGTGAGATCCCAGTAGAAAGAATGGCCATCAAAGAAGGAGGTACCTTTCTCTGAAGGGAGGAGA